CACTGGTTACAAATGTTTACTTCCTTCGCCTCACTTGCAGCGCATGTATTTTTGGCAGTTGCAACCGAGCAAGGAGCTAGTGGGAAGCCAAGAAAAAAAAAAAAAAAACAGGGCGCGCACGCGTCCGAGAACAAATAGCTCAAGATTTTTCAAAACCTCCGTGAATTGGGAGTACCCAGGAGAAGGGCAATGAAATCATCTCGCCAGATCTACTCAGACACAGATTACCAGAGACCTGATACCACGCAGATGCTAACCGTGCATACCTACTTGCGCGACAACGCAACGAATAGCATCCAGGCCCCTCAGACGGACTGATCTGTTGGAGTCGTCGTCGTGCAGCTATATAAATTCAACGAATAAAAAGCGTTAAATCAGTTACTGCGAGAGGCACCAGGACAGTGAAAAGGAGCTCTGGGCCAACCAGGCCACACTATTGGTGATGGATGCGTAGCAGAGTGGAGAAACAGGTGAATAAAAACTGGATGAATGAGTTGTGTCACGATAAGGCAATTAGTGGCAATTAGTTGGTCCTCATGCGCAAAGTGACGCCCTGATGAACTGCGTGCGACAGCATTAGCAAGCATCCCAGGAAGTCATTCGAGTAAGGGCCTCTCCTTCGACGATATCATGTAAGTGATCGAGTCGCAAGAGTGTGCGGCCACACAATTCCGCTCTCCAATAAATGATAAGCTGCTTGTCTGCAGCTGCCTTTCCTGTCAGAAACCACACGTAATGCATCCCATACACCTTTGCCACAAACCACACTTAACAAACGCAGCAGGATCCCGACGCAGATTTCTGAGCGTACAAAATTTCGGAAGACCTAAACAGACAAAAAAACACACCCGCAGGCAGACTGAGAACAAAATATACGTTTTTGCATGTGCATAAGTGTAAAAATACATGAGAATTTATAGCAGCCGATAAGAACAATGATCGGCTGAGCACAGAAGCCAGAACAAAGTCTGAGAATAAGGAGAAATTCCTGTCTAAAACTTGTTACAGCTAATCTCCGCTGGAACCAATTTCGTAAAAAAACGCATTTTGCTTATACCAAGCTCAAGCATTTTTAGACTGATTACTCAATTTTCCCGTTATCCTCAGTTACTTTCCCAATGCTTCATATACTCCCTTACCCTATATCACAGTCACCGCCCTCAAACCAATGCTGGATTGAAATGCGACGTAATGGCTCGGTACCAACGGTGCATTCCAGACATGCAAAAAAATTTCACTGATATGGGATGAACCAGAGCCGAAATTTCTTTTATTCGAAAGCGCACCGGGAAAAAGCAGCTGTTTGTCCCATTCACAAACGAATCTCGTTCATCTATCACTGTGTGCCCTGCAGAGGAACCATCGCTCTGAACTCGTTTCCCGATTTTCCACGAAGGCAGAGAAGCAGTAAATAAAATACTAATGTTATTATCCGCAATAACAGTGATAACGACAATTACAGTAGTGATAATTATAGTAACAATAATTACAACAATAATACCAACACTATCCGGCCAGTCGGTGTATGGAGTGATATCACTGCGAGCTACGCTACATCAGGATTTCAAACTACATACCTCAAGTTAGTAACTACTACCAGCCAACTTTTTGACTATGTTCGGGTTCGTTTCTCTGCCTGTTTCTTCCTTCTTCCGAAAAATGCAACATCTATCATATCCCTTTCCCCGTATGTAATCTCCTTTAGCTCACCCATTAGCTGTCTTTACACTTCTCAAACAGAGAAGGTGCATTTACGCTTGAAGCAAGTACTAGATTCGTTTTGCATAATTCGCTGTCTTTAATCTTAGTTTTTGGATTACCTCAAAGTTAAAAAATTTTGCATCGTTTTTGACCTTTTAAAGCATTCCCAACAAGCAGGGAATTTTCTAAAAAGGAAAAAAAAATCGGAATAATTACCCGTCATGACGCGTTAAAGATATTCTGTTTGGCTGCGACATCATGCGAAGATCGTACCTGAAAAAAAAAAAAAAAAAAATCAAACTTCAATCTGCAAACGTCGATCGTGCACAAGGCCAGCATTAGTGTTTGGAAATCACAGGTGAAAGAAAATGAATACTAAAAACACGACCTCCGTAGTAGCGGTGTGTTAGGATATAGTAAATAGGCCAGAATAGAACAGCAGCACTACTGCTGTTCCTGGCTTTCCCTCAGCAACACCTGGGAGTACATACTAGCAGCGCAAATCTCTCCCCTCCACCTTCCCTCTCTTCCCTTCCCTGTCCCACCATTCATGTATACAGCAAAAAACATTTCTTAATATTTCCTATGAACTTTTTAAAAAGTAAAGTGGATGGGCAAATCAAAAAACATACTTCAAATCAAATGGAATGAGATGCTTGTAAGGTCCGATCAGCCCGTACTGGATCGCAGCAACAGCCGAAAGATCTTTCAGAGTCGGTGCTAAAATACATCATCAATTACCAAAAAACAGCACTTTGCTAATGAGTGGAAAGAGCCCAGCAAATGGATACGAGGGAATAAAGAAGGGAAAAGCAGACTGTGCCTACCCTGGGGGTTGCGGTTGCATTTTCACCAGTTCCGCACTGTCCTAGTACTTTAAAGTATAAAATAAAGAGCAGTGAGTATTTCAAGAATGCATGAATTGCGCCTCAACTGCAATAAATAGCAGTTCGGTATCACCTGTCAAAAAATAGCGCTAAATGAGCATCACCTGATGTTAAATGTACATACATTTTTTTAAGTCTATAATTTGTTTCAGGGGAATGGAGTCTTGAAAAATAAGTATCAAAAACAACTGATTGTTTTATACTAGCGTATTTCCACATGTACTGCAACGACTTGTTATCTTGAATATTCGGCTCTTATTGCTAGATCCAGTCGCATGCCTTATGAAATGCTAACCTTTTCTTCTAATTTCTATCACACAAATCAGAGTAAAAAGCAAAGAGGCAGGCCCGAAAACTTTAAGAACCATATTAGAGTGCTAAAAACGGCAAACAAATGGAATGCAAAAATAAACAAAGAGTACAATCTGGGCAAGAAAGTGGCCCAGACTGAGGGCCAACAAAAATATGCAACAACAAATGAGTGCTATAAACAAAATAATAACAAGAAACAAACCATAATCAAGTACGTAGAGGTCGGAGAGATCGCTAAGACCACTGGATATGAAGTCCAGTTTGGCTGATCTGGTTGGCCTGTAACACAGTGTGACTAATGCATGCCGTATCTCCTCGGTACACGATTTGTACAACTCATCACCGGTTTACTAGCGAGCTAGGCGCGGAGGGACTGATGGACTCAAACACACTCCAACTCACTCATAATTCGATCCTTAAAATATCAGCAAGTATTTACCTCCACACGACACTTATCACGTTCGTCCGTTGTTAAAAAGTCATTATGTGTAACAACAAACTCTTCCACGACACAGTTGCCCCAAACAAATACGGCCCGCACACAGCGCGCCCCTGGCTTCCTTCTGGAACCAAATGTGACTGAATGGCATTTTGGCAGTTACGCTACTAACTCCTTCCTGTCTTCTGGCTGGTCAGTGCCGCGCCCAACGAAGCATCTTTCACTTGCTCTCTCATTTTCATTTTCTTAGGATGAGATTGTAAATATGATAGTGAAGTGTAAATATGACAGGCTGTATAAACGACAGGCTATACGTTGGCAGAAGTCATTACCCTAGAACTTCAACTTTCTAACTTCCGCGGTTCCCGAACAATTTCTCCCGTCAAAACTTTTACGAGGTCGTACGTGCTACCCGCTAGTGTGGAAAGGCTGAATTTAAATTTGCTGGGTCACATGTTTTGTGGTTGCCGAGTTGAAAGTTGCGGACAAAATGCATCGGACACACACACATATACACCCACACACGCACAAAGACAACACCGGGACAATATGCGTTTATGCAGCTGTTGCTCAGCACGAAACATATAAAAACGATTCGTTTAAAGCAAAAATATGCGGAAATGAATCGCCGGAAGGAATTCCTATACTTAGCAAAACCAAGTCTTCGTCAACTCCTGTCAAAAAGTGATGCTACTGGCTCCCACTAGTAGCGTTTAGCCTAATGAAGCTGGTTCGTTAAGCCGAGTCTTTAAATTTGTTTCCAGCAGGCCGAAAGCGCTGCATAATGGCTTGCGACACTTGAATGGGATGATTCGTAAGTTCATCCTCGGATGGCAGCCCTGCTGGTGCATATCGAAAGATCCGTCTTGTGGTGAAATCGCTTCATCTCATATGAACAATCATCTAGCTGTCTACTCGCCACCGTAAACCACTGAGAAGGCCGCTCAGAGCATTTGGGCCGATTGTTTTCTTTCATTTTCAATCATAATAAAGCAGAAAATTGCACACCCGCTAAACAAAAGGATCGATTCTTCACAGAATCAAATCGTCCGACATTCTACAACGAGCTTTAGACATTCCCGACAGCCCTGTAAGAATTGAGGGGAATGTGAAGCAGAGCAACATTTGTTTCATGCGAAATGCTTAACTAGAACATTTGAAAATGCCATACAGAAAATTAAAATAAGAGACATATTTAAGCAAACCTGCATTTTTTACCTTTTTCCAGCTAAAAATCTTCCACTTTGCTGATATCTCCAGCTCAGGCTAGGAATGACTGGTAATGCTCAAATCAGCGAGGAGAAATGCAGGTCATTCCGATATTTTAAGAGATGCAAGGACATCAGCTTCATCATGGTTCGACAACTGTCTCACCCCGCCGCTGCCGTACGTAGCGATGAGGTGTTTTGGCAGATAACTGTCTTTTTTGTGGTTTTTGTGAAAAATTGTGAAGCCAAGCAATGTTTTTTTTTTGTTTCTAAGACAAAACTTTAGTAACAAAAATTTGTTGTAGTTTAAATGGTTGAGATACTGGATTGTATGCACATCTTTTTCGAGCCATCGCAGCACAAAGTCTCCGTGAAAAAAAAAAAAAAACGATGTATTGAAGTGCTCTACGAAAAATCACATCCAGCTGTAAGCAACAAAAAGTTAAGCAAGCCACTTACGCAGTGCCACCAAACAAAAAGACACGATTGCCGACGAGAACCGTGCACTGTCGCCGCCGCGGTGACGGAGGTTTCCCGCCCGCCACTAGCAGGCTCCACCTGGATGTCTGCGGATCATATTCATACAAATCATTCATGTGTTTATTTTCGCGGCCCGAATAACCACCAAAGATATACATTTTCTTACCATAAACCCCTATAATTGGAGGATTTAGTTTTTTGCATCTCTGCACAGCTTTTCCAGATCCGAGTTAATTTCGACGCATGTGGGCAAGAGCGAGCATTCTGGCCTGTCCTAGGCGCACTTCTGTCGACGAAAAACCTGCCCCGCAAACAGGTGCACGCTGATAAACTGAGTATCAGAAGTTTAGCAGAAGAGGACGACACGTTGATAGCTTCTCAAAAGCAAGACATCTAAATTCAAATTTCTGACCATCCTAAATAAAAACCGTGTTAGGATATAGAATATCCGACTAGAGACATTCGAAACAGTCTTTTGACAGTAGCATATGTAAAACAGGATGACGCCTTCTCTCTCCAGCTCCTCGTGTCTCAAAGCTGTCCAAACGCAATAAAAAAAGCAAAAAACTGAGTTTAGCAGCTCAGGCTGTGAAAATGCAAAACCCAGCTGCCCAGGTGGGGGAGAAGGGAGGAACGGTCTAAAAAGTGTTGAATTACGTTGGACTGCAAGAATCCTGTCAAAAAACTCACAGGCGCTATGGCTTCTGCGACCGATCGGTTGATCACCCACCACGTTCGGCTCAGTCCAGCAGCCACTTTCCAAATCCAGCACCTTCAGTTTGACAGGATAGTAATCTGGCGAACGATGATAGCGGGTATTCACATCACTACGCCCACCAAACACATACATCTTCCTCTCCATTACGCATGCAGTGTGGAAATCCCTCCACTCCGGTACTGAGCCCTGCAATCCTGTTTTCTAATTTAAACGAATAAAAAAGTCGAAAGAAATTTCAAAGTTGAAAAAGCCGGAGATCCTAGAACCAAGAGCATGAAATTTATAGCTTATTTTTCCCTTCCCTTAAATATTCTTTCATTCAAGCTGAATGAATGTAAAAATTACCGTAGTTTTCATCTCGTACCATCTGCTTTTTTTAAAACTGTACACAAATGTCTCGTGGCTGAATCTGGAACACCAAAAATTTCACGAGAATTATTAAGCAATTTTTAAGCCGAACAGAGTGTCGATGTGGTTTCCAACATTAACAAAAGAGAGATTCACGCTTCTCTGCTAATGCCGATCAAAAAACTTCCGTGCATCCCATCCCATTTTTTTTAAATACCTCACGTGTCGACTTTGCCAATCTTCCAGAGCAAAGTGAGATCCCAAAATTTAGTTCCACTTTTTCTAGAACAGAATCTAACATAGTCTCTCAATACAATTCATACGTAAATCTCTCCAGAAAAAAAATTTCCCCCAAAAAATTGCGCGTCTTTTTCACAAACGTCCTCCTCCTACTTCCCCTCCCCTCCCCCTTCCCCTCAGCACACTAATCTTTCCATAAATATATACATAAACAAGTTCCTATAACTATGTCAGAATAAAAAAACACAGGCAGGATAGGTTAGCTGAGAAAGAATGTCATATTCAATAGTTGTTGATATTACCAGCTTGCCCAGTACACCCCAGTAACAAAGGCGGACCTCTGTGTTTCTTCTTCGAAGCCACCAAAAATGCACATGAAGTCGTCGACGACCACGGCACTGTGCCCATCCCGTGAGGGAGGGACGTCGCCCACACATTCGATTAGTGACCACGTCGCCGTTTCTGAAATCGCATCTATTATTCCTCACTGCAGCCAACAACAACAACAGCAGTAGCAACAGCAAGAGCTCCAGAAGGATTGTGCACATAGGGTCGCGCAAACCCTACGAAGCGCATGCACGCAGATCAGCGGGCACTCCACCAGACACGCACAGACGACTAATACGTTACTCTGAAAGCAGTGAGGATTGGCAGCAAGAGCTTTGGAAGGAAGAAACGCACCTGGATCGAAGCAGTGCATTTGGGCGCAGGCGCCATATTCATCGTTCCGGCCACCCCACAGGTACACCTTCCCATTGTACACAACCACCGTATGTCCGTATCGCTGATACGGCACGCCGCTGCGCGACGAACGCGGATTCTCTACCACAGCTTCGGCATCCGTTGGTCCCTCCAGCTTACGCCATCGATAATTCCCTGCAATAAAAATCTGCCAAAAAAAAAAAAAA